CCAAGACTTGGTGTTTCCACATCAGGTAATTGTTTTCATTGAGCTTTATTGTCACCAGCTGTGCTTGAGGTTGAATCACGGGTGAAGTAGGACCAAAGCTCGAGGAGTCTGAGATTGTGCTTGCCATAATCACCTCAGAAGAAAGGAAAATGAGAAAACTTGTAATGAAGGATATGGGGTTTGGTGACAGAAATAGAAAGGGAATGATCTTGCCTTTATTGTTCACAGAGACAGGTCAGATCAACCTGCTCTGATACCATAAAAGCAAATATCACATGCCATAATCGATGCAAACAAAGATCAAAATGTATGCTAACAACCTCAAGAACACACAAAATAATATGTTGGGCTGAAAGTGATAAAACTATGTATTAACCCTAGAACAATAGTGTGCAGCTCTTTATATACAATCTTGGAGAAATCTCCACCCTAGGATCAAGATCAAAGGCTAAGAAAATAAAGAAGAACAAGACAAAAAGACATAAAGAATGATGTGGGAAAAATAACCCACATGGACATGCATACGTCCAAAATAAGAGGGAAAAGGATGAAAAAAGTCTAAGCCATAGTTTAAAAGTCTTGAATGTTGCTGGTATGTATATATGCTATTAAAGAATAATTTTTTAATAAGTACCCGTGTAATACACGGGTGTTGTAATAGTGAACTTTTAAGTTAGAAAGACATTGTACAATTCTTGACGGAGAATTAATGAATCATAGATAGAGAAATGGTCTGTAGTATGTTGGGACCCTAGGAACATGTTTGGTGGCAGGGAAGTAAACCAAATAATTGCNACTCTTGATAATAAAAACACAAATTTTAGTGTGAGAGGCTAACGGTTAAGGTAGATCAATTCTTGGTACTATGTGAACAGAAAAACATATTTATACTATCAAATATTACACTTCTATTTATGTTGTATTTCCAAGTATGAGACTACTTAATAAAACTAAACATATTTGTGAAAAAAGTATATCGGCCTAATAGTTAGACCCGTCAAATAGAAGACTTACTGAAATAAATATAGTAATAAAAAAATTAGTGTAAGACAAACTATGGCCTACTAAAAAAACTTGTTATCCCCCCAAAAAAATGAATAACTAAAAAAAATCTACTTATATAGTGTGTTTGGTAAACACAATGGTTTATAGTTTATTTGGTTATCTTATAAGCTTTCTGTATGAAAATAAACATGACTTGGTAGAATGAACTTTTTAAAAAAGTTCGAGCTTATTTGATAAGCTTTCTTAAATAGTATTTCAAATAAATGCGTTAAAATTTTATTTCAGCTGGCTTATCAGCTAATTTTACTAAGCAATTTTACCATATTAGTTAGTTTTTCAGCCATAAACAATAACATTTATATATATATATATAGAAAATGCTCCCTACCCACAGGTGAGCACATGTTAATATGTCCACCGTGATGTATATATATATATATATATATATATATATATGTTATTGTTTTTGAAATACAATCTCGTTGTTCTTTCCACAATTAATGCCCATAAGTTATTAAGTCCATGCACCAACTGATGTAGTAAGAAATTAGCATGCATTACACTATTGGTATAGTGTTAAAAGATCACAAGATATTGACACATAGATGATGATGGACACATGCTCACGATGAATCGGTGACATTTCTGTATAAAATAAGTCATAACTATAAATAGAATAAAATAATAAAAAATGACATTGCTCTAAATTTTCTTTCTTAATTAGACCACATCCAGGGGCGGACTTATGTATTAAATGCCCGGGTGAATTTTAGATATTTGATCTATGTTTTATTAAATAACTACATGAGTTATTTTTATTTTTTTTAATCAAAAAATAAATAAATTAACTCACGTTCTATGTGTTTTAGCCTAGAGTGAAATTAGATGGAAACTTCAAGTCTCCCCACTAAATTAAGGAGCTCATACTATTTCTCATGAGTCTTATATATACATCGATCTTTTTTCCCATTTTCAGCGTTGATTAAATTAAGAGTTTCTTATTTATACTTATTTTTCTAAAAAAAAAGGCTGTAATAGAATAGATTATATAACCGGCTTTCCATAATTTGAAGTACTGATTACTTGTAAACTACCTTAAAAAAAACCTGTTTCCAGTTACCATTATTCTTTGAGGTGGCACTCGTGGGATGCTTTGGAATTTATCCTTTTCTTTTCCGATTATAGTTTTTTTTTCCACCTTTGCTATATATGAATTTTTAAGTGGGAAAGACATTGTACAATTCTTAGACTGAAAGTTAATGAATCATAGATCGAGAAATGATCTGTAGTATGTTGGGACCATAGGAACTTGCTTGTTTGGTCGGAAGTAATTGCTCAAACTGCAAAACATTATCTTCTTTTAATAATAAAAACACAAATCCGGGTGAGAGAAGGGCTAATTGTTAGGTGGCTAATTGTTAGGTGGATCAATCGTTCGTACTATGTGAATATAAATACATATTTATACTATTAATTTTGTCACACTTTATTTATGTTGTTTTTCAAAGTATGAGAATTTTTAAATAAAAATAAGCATATTTATGAAAAATGTATATCGGCCAAATAGTTGGGCTAGCCCTACCGAAATAAATATCTATACTATTACAAAAAGAGAAGTAATTTTGTAAGATAATTGACAGACTAAAATATCTTTATATTTAATATATTTTTAATGACATAAGTGTAATACTCATTAAAAATAAGTGTCTCGATAAATTATAATTAAACTAAAATATCCCCATAAGATAAAAATATTTGCTTCTTTAATTTAGTGTCCCCAACAAGTTAACGGTGTGGATTACACGTGCCGATCGTTTCCCAGAGGTGGGAGCGGTCCCCTTCTGGGAGTCACTGCTGTCCAACTCGCACCGGGCGAAGAGTCGACCTTTGGTCAATGTAATCTTTAGAAGCGAAGTTCAGTCATTACGTTTTGAAATTTATTAAAGACATAATTATTTGTGATGAAATAATAATCCTAGATGCGCTCATTTTTTGTCATTCTTTTACTCACTCATTTTTTAGTATTTTGGTTAAACTGTAATTAATAATGTCATATTTTGTAGTACTTCCTCGTTAAAGTGTGTTCAATTAATTGAGGAGCAAGTAAATGAAGTTCGGAAGAATGGGCTCAATATGTTCTTCAGAGTTTGTAAGATAAAAACTCTACTAGTGTCGATTAGTTTTTTTTTTTATTATTATTATTTTTTTTGTTACTGTTGTGTTGAACTTCAAATCTATTACAAAATATAAATAATAGATAATGATTGAGATGTTTCATTTCGATTTATAATTCTGGTAGATACATGCGTATTATTTTCGTACTTAACAGGTATGTATATATTTTGTTATACTCGTATTACATTTTCTTTTATAGCTTGTTTATATGATGTGAAAAAATGACTTAATTTTGATATCAATATATGTATAACTTTTGGGATGCAGACGGATGTCATGAAAACTTTCTTGGTCAAGACAGTGACTAATAGTGGGCTGATTTTTACATGGAATAATGAGTTGTTTTTCTTGATTTGATGAAATTGGATATACGATTATTTCCTGATTTGGTGCTACATCAATACTCTTTTACATACACGAGCACAATGTTAAAATTGGTGGATTGTATTTAGTAAGTTTTTGTTATATTCATGTTTGAGTTGTTTTCTTGTTGGTTCTTGCTTCTTGGTACATGAAGTTTATGATTTAAGTCATTTTGTTCTTGTTTACTGGTGCAGGGGGTAAATGAATACGTGCACACACACACACACACACACACACACAAAAAACTCATAGATAACGTTTGTTTTGAAAAGTGTTATATATTATCATCATCTTAGATAGCACTTCAATTAAAAAATGTTATCTGATTAATATTATAGATAATGCTTAATATAAAAAAGTGTTATGTTAAAGGTTCTCCACATAGCGCTTAATATAAAAAAGTGTTATGTTAAAGGTTCTTTACATAGCGCTTAATATAAAAAAGTGTTATGTGAAAGATTATGCACATAAAGCTTCATATAAAAAAGTGTTATGTGAAAGATTATGTACATAAAGCTTCATATAAAAAAGTGTTATGTGAAAAGCTATTCAAATAACGTATTTCAAAGTGTTATTTAAAGAGATCGGTCTTCAGATAACATTGATTCCGATAACGCTTAAAAGTAGCGAAAAAAAAAAAAGATTATTTGAAGCCTTTTTGGGGTAGTGATTGTTAGGAATTAAAATATTTTAATATAACAATAAAGCTATAACAAAAAATAGGAATGCCATCTAACATCACTTTTTTAATTAAACTATGAACAGTTTTAAAAAGTGATTTTCATTAAAGTAAAGTCTAACATTAGTAATTGAAAATTTGCAATTAAATATTATTTCCATATTACAACCTAACTGTTTTACTTTTATTTTTTATTTTTTGGTAATTACTCGTGAAATATATATATATATATATATATAATTAAATTTGATGTACGGGAACGTGATATAAATAAATAATAGAATTTTATTTAATAATAATTATTTGTCATATACTTTTATATTATCCTTAATGATATAAAAATATTTAACAGCTAGTATATAATTATTCTAAATTATAAAAATTTAATAACTTTCAATAATCATTAGTTATACAAAAATATACATTCGTTATACAACAAAAATGATCAGTTTAAATTGAAAAAATAATAATACTAAAAATAACTCTATTTTCATTCAAAACTACACATTAATTATACAATACAAATAATAAAATTTATATTAATATTAATACAATAACTATGGATGCATCATTGTTTGTTTTAATCTTACACATTTAACTATACTAATTAATTAATATACTTTATATAACATATCTCATAATTATGTACGATATAAATTTAAACAACTTTTTTTTTTCTTTCTTTTTAAAATATATCTTCGCAACCCTCCTAACTTCCACTAGCCAACTAGCGAGGGCCTAGCCTAGCGCACGTTCTAACAATGGTCCTTTTACAACATTAATTGTTCCTAAACAAATAATTCAATCCACAAGCATTAGTGGGGATATGATCAGACGTGGCGTACGTACGTACCTGCAGAATCACGAGCGGTGTGAACCCGAGATCCCGCGCGAGCATCGGCTGCCTATAAACAAGCCTTCCGTGGCTCCCCTCCGCCGCCAGCCACTTCTCCACAGTCGTGGCGCACTTAGCCTCCACGATCCGAACGCCGCTGTCGTTGCACTTGACGAACGGCCTCCCGCCGGCCTTGTGGCGCCGGATTCTGCCGGAAATTGGATAGTAAAGCTGCAGCCACTGGAACATGGGCGCCTTGAGGTCCTGGACGCTCAGCCCCGCGGCTGCCTCCGGGCTGAAGAAGTGTACGGTGGTGATGTGGTGCAGCTTCACGGCCAAATCTGCTGCCGTGAACTCACGGACCTTGTCCTCCCCGGTGATGCTCGCCGGCACCACAGTCGATAATTTTATGTCAAAAATTAAGCTCTGATCGGATTCGATTGGGGACGCCATTGGAATAGTAGTTACGAAGGAGAAAGGAGAAAATGTAATGAAATAAGTTAGATAGACAATTGAAGAGTTTGTGGAGTTAATAACGAAGGAACTGGAAAGAAGAAGTGCTGCTGCTCTTAAATACAGTCGTTGAGCTGTTGGATCACGAGTACGATGCCAGAAATAAATGGGCCAAATTTTATAAAAACGTTAACCCCACTTTTTCTGTTTTTGGGCACATTTAATGAAACCTTTATACGTACTTGAATAAATAGAAAAATGCTACAATCCCGTTGCGGAATCATTCCGTCGGGATTTGTAACCGTTAGATCATCATGTAACTGTCGTGGATAATTGATCTAATGGTTACCAATCTCGACGGAATGGTTTCGTAACGGGACTGTAGAATCTCTCGAATAAATATATAATCTTTTGTTTTTTATTCAAATCGAGATATCCGGCGCAAGAGCGAGTCAATTTAGCTAATTACATGGAGTCATGTCTGCATATGTTGAATTGTGGATTTTCCACGTAAAACTAGTACGTCGCCAACAGTGACGGAGCTAGGAATTTTACTCAGAGGGGCCCGATTTTGAGTGTTAAATAACGAGTTTGTAGTTTAAGTTGAAACACTTATTTCATATAAAAATATATTTATTATAAAGATAAATATCGATATGTGTATCATCAAGTTTTAAAAACTTAGAATCCGTATCACCCTCAAAATTTTAAAAAAAAAAAAGATTTCATGTATTTATAATTTAATTTCAACATCAATATTTATGATAAAATAAGTTTTTTTATAAAAAAATTGATTTAAAATGAACTTTTGTAGCACATTGCATAATATTTTTGCTGATGAAAGCTTATTGTTTGTCCCAGTTTTGTTGCCTTTTTCCTTGTTATTTTTCCTTTCTTTTTCCCCCATATGAGTTTTTTTAGTTCGTTTTTATCTCGTTTTGTAGTTTATTGCGTGTTTTCCTCTATCTTGGTTTTTCTTGTGTTTTCCGTATGTTTTTTCGGTTTTTCTTCGTTTATGGTGTGTAGGTCGAAAGCTTCGGGAAGATCGAATTTTGGGCAAAACTCAGTTGGGCAAGCGTAATTAGATAGAGGAGTTCGTTGGGAACACACAGGAAAAAACAGAACTCAATTCCGATACCAGACGAGCCCGAACGACTCCAAAATGTGAAGTAGTGCGAGCTGTCCAGGCCCCGCGCGCCTGCCGCGCCGCGGAGCGCCCATCCACCGTGCCGCGAAGCACTGCCGCGCCGCGGAGCGTCCATCCACCGCACCGCGAAGCCCTGCCGCTCCGTTGAGCCTTCATCCACCACGCCGCGCCCCTGCCATGACCCCTACTGCAGCTCCCAGCCTTCAGCGCGCCACGCCGCGCCATCCACCACGCCGCGGCACAACACCCCACCACGCCGCACCAAGACTTCTCACATCGTGGCCCACGTCCCCTATATATACACGCACGGGACTTTGCACAGGATTATTCTGGCCCTCCGGGGTGAAAATCCTAGGTTGGGAAAAACACCATGAACACTCTTTTCTCCTCTTTTTCTTCCATTTTCCTTCTTCTCTTCACCTTTCTCTTCCATTTTTCTTCTTCTTCTTAATAATTAGGGATTAAGCTTTGTATTTGATTTTACGTAGCTAATTCTTTTGCTAGGGATAGGGGATGATTGTTCTTGGTTAATTTGCATTTGTCGGGCTTAAATTGTTCATGCTTATGTGAGTTGATACTATTCAGATTTGATGAATTCTTGCTTGATAGTTTGATATAATCGAAGGGTGACACTTCGATCTTGTGATTGGAAACAATTGAATATTGATTGTCGAGTTAGGTTTTGTCGATTCCCATGATTAGTTGATTAAACACCTTCTAATTGAATTAGCGACTTTTAGAACCGAAAAGGGAGAAGTCGTAAACCTAGACTCGCATGAGATAGATGATTTCGTAACTGAATAGTCTATAGGTTTTGGATTGAAATACGTACTTGTCGATAACCCGTCTCTTGTTACGAAAAGTTATTGAGACTGGGATAATTGACATGTGTTGTATGCTCGAGCTAGCTCGTCTATGTTCAATCCCTTGTTACGAAAAGTTATTGGGAGCGAACCACTAGATGTTTAAGCGAGAGTGTCAATCTAGAACTGAACAATTGATTGCCCGGTTTTGCTAAGAACTTGAATAAATTATCCCCGATTCTCTAGCTTCTCCATCTTGTTCCGTTTACATTTTTAGGTAGATTATTGCTTTTTAATATTTCTTGGTTAGTAATTATTCAAACCCCCTATCTGATTAGAGTGTTTAGGATTTATTTTCTTTTTCTGTGTGATCGATACCAAAGCTAAATTCCGAACCACCTTCCTCGTGAGATCGACCCGGGGAATGAATCTTTTGATTCGGTACTCGGTAAAAATATAATTTGCTACAACACTTATCGAGTGAAAATTTTTTAAAGGAAAAATAAAGTTAAGAATATGTGATTACACAAAAAAAAAAAGTAAAAAAATCAATATTAAAAAATATAATAATCCAACTAAATACTCGGTTTATAAATCACAAAATCTAATTACAATGAAAAGAACGAAAGAGTAAATCATTATAAATATTTTCAAAAACTTATCCAGAAATGTAAATTATAAGGATTGTTAGTATATTTTTAAATAAATGAGTAACATTATTAATTTGAATTAAAATAACATAGAAAATAAGTTTTATTTATTAATATATTGTAAATATTATTTTCATTTCTATACATATGTTGTTATATGTAATTAACAACTTAAAATTATAAACAGCTGAGTGTATTTAAACAGAAATAAAAAGAAAATTATATTTTATTGATGATATCACAAGAGTACAGGAAGTTGGTTTTTTATTCTTGACCGAGATCATCTCAAGTCCGTGTACCATGTGTGAAAAAGAAAAGATCCAAAAGCCCTTCTACAACTATAATTCTGCTATTTATAGTACGGTCGCTTTTGTCATTTTGTCCGAGGTAGATAAGATCGCATTTAATGTTGAGCAGCTTCAATTAAACGGTGTGTAGTGGAATGAGGAAACATCAATGATTGCTTTATGTTTTGATTGTCGAATCGAATGTGTACAGCTCCTCTTGCTTGAAAATTCGATCTTCTCGGATGTCGGATGAATGGATAATATTTTGAAGATCATATTCATAATGTTGGTGAAGTCGGTCGTCGGCTTCTGATAAGTTGTCGGTTCTACTTTCAGTCAACTGGAAGTCGGTAGTCAACGTATTTAATTGGTTCCGACTTGAGCTAAGTTCAGCTATTTCTAAGGAGCTATTAATCAAATTAAGTGATTAATCTTTAGCTCTAACCTCATGAAGCTAAGTTGGTCATCAACAGAGAGGCCCCCGACATTAGTGGGTATTTTAACTTTTCGTGAAAATGGCTGCTGATATCGTTATTGTCTTTTAATTCCGACTTGGTTGTTCTCCGACTTCTCTTTCACTTTATAACCGACATGATAACACTTTGTTTTGTCACCAATTTTGTCTGCGACGGTTGTGTAATGTTTGGACTGACGTGGCAGTTCTCAAAAGACGTGTCCGCATTTAATGGGTCCAACGGATAGAATTGTTAAGCGACATGGCGTTTCAAGATTTGTCCTCATCTGTTAATCATTACTGTAACGTTGCACCATTTAGGGACACGTCCGTTACACGCGCCGATCCCGGGTTTGATCAACGGTTATAAATCAAAACCTATAAATCACAATCGGTTTTGACTGTGAAGAGTTTTTTTACCTTAGATCTCTGAACTTTTTGCTTTCATCCTTGTGCTCAATCCCTCTCGGATTTCTCTTTCTGTTTCTGTCTTGTACCATTTGTGCAATCTCTTTGTGTCTTCTTCAATTCAGAGCTTTGAGAGTTTCGGTAAGATTTTGCCCTAATTTTTTATATTTCTGTGCTCGCCAATTTCGAATTCATTTTTATTTTCACATTGATTTCGGAAAGATGACTTCTTACGCTGAGGATAGCAGTAGCCGTACAATTTTGGAGACTAGGATTTTTACCGATGAGGATTTGGAATTGCCTCTTGAGTATTATCGGTGGGATCCTATTCTCGTAGAGAGACTCAATTTGAATAAGGACATAATTGAGGAGGACAAGTCAGTTGAGGATAATGCTATGTCTCTTCCCGATTATTGGAGGCGTCCTGCACGTCAGTGGCCCGAACCGATTATAAGAGAAAATAGTTAATGCATTATAATAAGTTGTGTTTAATTTTACCTATTGAAACGTTCAATTGTGATAATATGCTCTCATCATTCTCTTATGAAAAAAAAATTTATATGAACAAAAATTAAACTATAATTGACACATTATACTGTTTTTATTTATGAAATTTTTAGCTACATGATTGTGTATTTTTTAAAATAATTATTTTAGCTGAAATCCATGAGAATTGTAATTCAAAGTAATATGAAAATACTTATATTTGCATAAAATCAATGAGAATTGTAATTCAATGTAATTTTTAGAAATTCACATTGACAAAATTCTTGTAAAGTAATACGGAAAAATACATTTAAATTATATAATATAAAATCTAGAAGAAAAAAATATTTTTTGTGAAATTAACTTATGATATATAATAAGAAAAAAGTAGTTGATGCATTATAATAAGTTTTGTTTAACTTTATCTACTGTAACGTTCAGTCGTGATAATATGCTCTCATCATTCTCTTACGAAAAAAAATATTTGTTATATGAACAAAAATTAAACAACAATTGACAAACTATGCTATTTTTATTTATAATAGTTTTAGTTGCACAATTGTGTATTTAGTATAAAAAAATAAAAAATAAAAAAATAAGGGAAATCACTTTTCACCAATTTTTAGATAAACTCAAATTTAGGATCAAATGAAATAAATGATACAAATATTTATCGGATCAAAATATTCAACCAATAGGACTATTTCGTCTTTAGAGTCAAAACTATATTATCAATTTTTTATCTCTCTAATTGTTGTTGAGACT